TGAAAGGAAGCAATCAACCACTGCTATCCTCAGACGAGAAAAGCAATGCCAAGAGCAAGGAGATGACATGTGATGTCAATTAAACGTAATTAAGACATTTAAATGTAGGAGCTGTTTTGATGCAGTCATGCGGAGTACATCCACCTATAAACAATACAAAATAACATTCCATTATTAATAACCCAACCAAAAGTGGATTGTGAAAGCCTGTTAAACACTTAACACTGTGGATGATATAAGAAATAAAGACTGTCCCTTGGTCTCAAGGAGCAATTCTGCTAAGATGCTCTTTTAGCTCTCAAATGCTAATTTCATGAGAAATGAAAAAAACACATTCTTTCCTCACAGGCTCTATATGAAGGCTGTTTGTCATAACTGTACCAACACAGCTTACACATATTAACTATTGCGGGTATGTGTTATTCTGATACATAGCAGTGCTGGAATAATATGTAAGGCTAAAAAAAATGTATAAACCCTCAAACCATATGCATGATAGAAAATAGCTTTAACAGATCTCTCATTTTTACAGTTTTATGTACCATCTTTTGGTAAATGATGTTATGAATTGCTCTTCTGATTTTTCTTCCACGCCAACACAAAGGCCTCAGTTTAACAGAGGTTGGAAAGGAACCTGACCAATAAACTGTCCACTTAGAAGATGGTGCCACATATGCAAGTGAATTCCACTGGGGTAGATCATCCAATGGATGATCTATATTAGTCATGAGAAACACTAACTGCCAGTCACTGTGTATTTAAAAAATCGAGACTTAAATAATGACGTTCACTATCACGCTCAATAATATTGCTATTACCTTCAGGGTCAGGATCAGAATCCGTAATGACATGTTATATCAGACAGAGGGGAATGAGAAATACAACATGGGCAAAATGACCTAACTGGGTTGGCTAACAAACAAGAAGTCTGCAAGTTCTTGATTAAGTGGGTGTTATAAATTATCTCTCAAAAGGAAAACCCGTGAAAACTGACTACTTTGCGGGAGAGGGCTGTGCCCTTACTTCATGACAGAAGGATTGCCATTTTAAAGGTCAGAAATTATACAGAGCTAGACAACTAGTCAAAAAATAATAAGCATAAGAATTTCCTAACCTCATGGGTGTTTCATCAAAGAAACTGGTCACTGATAGACATAATACAATCTTATTCAGAAGCCTTTAAGCCAGATTGGATTTTTATTGGTCTCGGCTAAGAAGAAAGTAGGTGGTGAGGGTCACAGATCAAGAGATGCAAAAATCATGCACTCTAGGAAAACAAAAGCAAAAATGAACTATTCAGACTATACCAACATAAAAAGATTTTGCACGGTGAAGGAGACCAACAACAAAATGAAAAGGCAACCTACCAAGTGGCGGGAAGATATCTGCAAATGATATAACTGATAAGGAGCTAATATAAAAAATACATAAAGAACTTATACAACTCAATATCAAAAAATAATCCAATTAAAGTGGGCAAAAGACCTGAATACATTTTTTCCAAAGACACAGAGATGGCCAAGGGACACATGAAAAGATGCTCAATATCATGAATCATCAGGGAAATGTAAATCATACCACAAGGAGATATCAGCTCATACCTTTCAAAATAGCTAGTATCAAAAAGATAAAAAAAAAAATACATAGCAAGTGTTAGCACTGAGGTGGCAAAAAAGGAACCCTCGTGCATTGTTGGTGATAATGTAAATTGGCAGGCACTGTGGAAAACAAAGTGGAGATTCCTCAAAAAATTAAAAATGCTAATTCCATACCATCCAGTCATTCCACTACTGGCTATTTACCCAAAGAAAACAAAAACTCTAATTTGAAAAGTAAAACATTAACCACATCCTAAAATTGCTTTTTGTTTTTCTGTATCTAAAAGTTATATATTATTATCTTTATTAGTTTAACAACTAATTTGTCTTTTACTCCTTATTCTCATTATTTTGTACCTTTTTTCCAGGAATTTAAGAATTTCAGCAGTTACAGTTAAATATTTTTGCATTGTGTAATTTTTTTTTAACAATGGATGGATAATTTTGTTTGACTTCTGGGAAAGTCAAAAAAATGTTACAAATATACTTCTTTCAACTTTCAGTAGGTTCAGACTTTCAGAGTAATCATGGATCAACTCATTTTAAGTGATTTTGTAGGAGAGGCCCAAGATGTAATTATGTAACAAGTTTTGCTTTGTTATGTACAACTGCTGACCTTGTGAACTTATATATTTATAAGCATTTTAATAGTAAAATTAATAATGGCTCCTTAGTGATAGTTTCCTTTTTTAAATTAATATTCTCACAAAGAGAGCGAGCATGTGATTCTTGTGACTTCATTTAAGGTAAGTCGATACCTAGACAAAAAGGAATAAAGCTAAATGTCTGATATATGAAAGTACTACCTTCATATCTTGAGGCATTTCAATTTTGAAGGGATCTTGACAAGCCAAGAGATAATTATTTCAACAAATGCATTGATAAAAATAGAGAAAATGATCACATTTATCAGACTTTTATTTTTCCTTGCCTTTTTCACTTTTTTAAAAATTTAGACAAATAGAAAAATAACCTATTTTAAACATGTCATATGAATTACACATTAAAAAATGAAGTCTAAATAAAAAGTAGACATTTCATTGTTCATTCATATATAATGTATATTCAGCGGCATTTAGCTGACTTTGCATTTTATGTCAATGATTTGGCATGGTATGTTTTCCCAATGTGTCCCAGATGTTATGCGAAGTCCTGAGCACATATTAAAAAACGTGTACACATGCATGTGTATATATGTGTTTCAGGGAGGGGGGAATCCAACAATAGCCCTCGTCACTTTAATAAAAGCTGCTATTTAAACCATATGAAAGTTAACTATTTTTATAAAAGTTTAAATGGTTTTAGTGAGCATTTATAAAATGTGTACTGCCTTACGGCCTTTAAATCTGACAGCTGATGACATAAATTTTCTGGATGGTGATCAAGTACATGTTGATGCAGCTGTTGCCATGTTGCCATAGTAAGACATGCTGAAGCATCTACTTCAGTTTCAACTGGCTGAGCATGACTTTCTTAAATGATGACTAATGACCTATGACTTTTAATAATGAGTATCTAAAATCTCGATTGCCAGTAAAAATAAAATCTAATTTAAACTCTGTAAAAGTTTGGGGGAGGAGGAAGAGAATTCTCTACTGCACAAAGAGCAAACTCCCATACTGAAAGGTGTATTTCTAAAAATGAATAGTGTTTCAGAAAATCTACGGGGTGTGCTCCCAAGGAACAAAATTGGACTGTGGGTCACTTTGTACCCATCTTGCAGCCTGCACCCTTCTTATAAGGCCTGGCAAACTTTTTAAGTTGTAGCATGGTCAGGAGTTTCTTTGCTGATGGGACAATATTAATTGCTCAACAATCAGTACTCAAGAGGATTTAGGGTTTCCATTAGCTTTAATACATTACCTATTCTACCTTATGAAGACAAAACCCAAATTTCATCCATCTTTTAACATTTAAAGAAAACTTGCCATTTGAAAAAAAAACAAACTTTCTATTTGAAGTGCAAGCTGTGCATGCACTTTACTTTGTATAGTTAGGCATTGTTTTCAACTTTTCAGTAAGAACGACTTTACCATAAAACATACACTCCGCATTTAAACACACATTAAATAGAATGCCCCCTTCTTTTTCCCTTTCTTTCAAAGGAAAGAGACAAAACAACTTCTGTATGTTTGAATTTAGAAAATGATAGTGCATTTCTTCTTTTTGATTGTGGTTATTCACTTTTGCCTTAAAATTACACATCTTTTATTTTCTGTCTATGGAAACACATTATCTTGGTTTTTAAATTTTTCTTGTATGTGCCTTCCATGATATGTATATATTTCAATTACGAGAACAATTTTGTATTTTTAAAAACTCATGCTGGAAACTATCACTATGGAGAGAGGAAGAAGGAGGTAACAAAAGTAAGCCAACCAACAAAGTAGTGCCCTGTGGTGTATTCTAACCCTATTTGCTCGCCAAATGACCTCGAGTGACTTCTAACCCTCTTCTAATACCATCACTCAAAATTGGGTCCACTTGCCTTTTCATTAACCACCGAAACTTCCTTTGCCACTCTGAATTTTGCTCACCTCAACCAAGGGAAGTACGACCTGCCTCTAAATCCAATTACAGCTCTCTGGTTTCTCTTACAAATGCTCTGCATTTTAATTTGTTAATATGCTAAGATTATCATATCTCTGTAAATATAAAAAGCAATAGAAAATTAGCTAATGTCTTAGAAACAAATGCTTTCTTAAGTAACCAACAGTTTATTATACATTTCACAGAGCATAGGCCTGGGAGTACAGCCTATTTGCAGTCCACGCTGCAACTGCTGGTTCTGGAAACAGGTCTCTCCTCCTTCCCCATTTGCCTGTGTTTTCGGGTCACACAAAGAAAACAGGGAAGTCGGCTGTTGAGGGGGAGGTTGAATGGGTGAAATGTTGGGCTGAATTTCCCAGGGCAGCTCAAAGGCTCAATTTTATGTTTTACACACTGTATTGAAGTTCTACATAAAATAATATTTGAAGAAAAAGTCATGGTTCTTAAAAAAAGGTTAAAGCTGTGGAAACCACATTAGATGATTCCTTCCCAAACACTACTATGAGTTTACACAAATTTTTCAACCCACAGCAGGCTGAGATGAACTGATGGCTGCATTTGGGTAAGTATTAATAAAACGAGTAACAATATCAGGTTTGCACGCAATGTCAGGCTTGCAATGTCAAGTGTGCCTCTGATCTTCGCTGCATTATACACTTCAGAGCTGGATACGCTAATAATTATTAAGTGATATACACAAGGTGTATCACTATACAGTGACGGCCTGGATCATACTAGGTACAAAAGATACCCTACGTATATTATGAAAGGCAAAGTCATGTCTACATGGTTCATAAATGAACTTATACAATAGATATCAACTAAACAGCATTTGTGAGATTTCATAAATACCCTCGTGCTGGAATATTCATGTGCCTCGCAGACTTAACCACCTCCTCAAACTTCTCCATACTTTCTTCAATAGAACAGTTAATATTCTTCTTGCTAAAGGATTCAGATGCAGCACCAAAAACTGATATCTCAGTGGCTCCAGCAGCAACCTGAAAAAGAGAATTTAAAGGCAAAAGCTGGAAATTTCCAAAATGTACCTGATAGCATTAGAAGAAATATTAACTACTCAATAAAGGCCTACTTGTGTTAACATTCGCCTTGGAATTTAAAATTGGAGTCCACTCATCCTGCCTCATATGCTCTTTTCAAACTTAAAAATATTGGGTGATATAACACAAGAACTTTCTAAACTGCAACACCCGGGGCGCCTGGGTGGCTCAGTTGGTTAGGCGCCTGCCTTCGGCTCAGGTCATGATCCTGGAGTCCCGGGATCGAGTCCCACATCGGGCTTCCTGCTCAGCAGGGAGTCTGCTTCTCCCTCTGACCCTCTTTCCCTCTCATGCTTTCTACCTCTCATTCTCTCTCTCTCTCTCTCAAATAAATAAAATCTTTAAAAAAAATAAAAAATAAACTGCAACACCCATAAATCTGAGGCACAGAAAACACAGTGATGATGTTCCAATTTAATCTTACCTTTCCTAAATTATGTGTAGACTTCAGAAATGTCATAACCGTAATTATAGAAAAATACTAGCACCCCAATAAAACCTTTTAATATCTATGGGAAACGTTCTTCTTAAACCAATTATTAAAATAGAGGAAAGTAAATGCTTTGTTTTTGTCTTCCCATAACCTAACAGAAAAATGTTTTTCCAATTCATCATTGAGACGTTGCCCAAAATGTTCTTCCTATCTCTTAACCTAGCTTCTGTTGTTTCATACCTTGACTGCTACAACCACACTTTTGCGTGTCCAATGTCTTCATCCTCGTAGCCGGTCTTTAAATCCAAAATATTAACCTCAACATTTTTCCCCTTTGCCATCCTTTGTCCTTGCTCCAGGCTTCTCCAGTGACTTGTTTTCAAAATATCAAGTTTCTTCATTTTCCAGCTGGACTTTTAAAGACTTTCTATTAATGCATCTCTAGCACTGTGCAAGATTCTCCCCTCTTTCTGATACTCTATTAATATATTAAGAAAATGTCATTTTTTTCTTCATTTAAAAAAACATTGGCTTCTAGTCCTCCACCCAAAATAAATTTTTAACTTCTAAAATTAAAATTCTATTTATTTGAACACTTCCTATGTACCAGTATTGTTGTTAGTACTTTGTACGCCCTATTTCTAACCCATAATCTTATAAACTAAGTATCATTTTGCCCATTTTATAGATGACAAAACTGTGGCCCAAAGAGGCTAAATCACTAAAGCTACTGAAGTCCTGCTTTGAGCACAGGTGCGCCTGACTCCCAAGCCCCTAGTTGCACTCCATTGCCTGCCCCTCCAAGCTATCATGAGGGTGTGCACTCAGTTGGTATCTTTTTCAAGGTGGAGACATTCTTTACTCTGTTAGGACCAGTGACAGCAATATTTATAATTTTTTAAAATGCCTCTTTCTTTCTTTACAATGGGATAAAAAAATTTAACAAAATAAACAAAAGAGTCGTTTTAACAAGCTACACAACAGGTGATATATCAACTAGCACCCACAACCTCAAAATTATGCCACACAGTCCCAAAGACAAAAGTGAAAAATATTAACACCAGAAATAGCTGCTGCCAAACTTTTACAGTAAAGCCATGTGAGCATGAGCGTAACACCTCAAGCCTTGACCTAAAATTGCTCTGATTCTTCTTGTACGTATCATTATTAAAACTTTTTGCATATAAATTCTTAAGTCACACAGGACTGTAAGAAACCAACCAGAAGAGGAACAGGGAAGGTTGTTAGAGGCAACTTCAAATGACAGTGATTAGCTTCACCTAGAGGGAGGGAACAAGAGCATCAGAGAGCTGATCCAAAAAGTTGACAAAAATGATCCACTATGATAATATTAATAATTATAATATTATATCGAGAAATGTTTAAGTTAAATTCTGTATTCCTTATTTAAGAGGGAAGCACAAAATATACTCTCAGAAGAATTTCATCAAAATGGATAACTGTATTTTTGTGTTTTGATTCCTGAATGGTTAAACTGGAAGGGCCATTAATGTGGAAGAATTCAGTCCCTAACAATACCCCAAGGTTTACAGATCACGTTGTACTCATGTACCTATGTTAGAATAGCATTTATACAGGGTAACAAGGAAGCGACATCTGATACCGTTTTAACTATGTAAAGACCTTAAAACAGTAAGAAGCATATTGATATAAAAATAATGAGTAGCACACTTACAGCACGGTGAAAACCCTGAAGATTAGGAGTAAGGACAGGATATCGAACTCCTGGGTATTGATGAATGCCTTTCATCACTTCAGTGTGATCAGCCATCTGAAATACAAAATAGTTATATATAATCAACTTTAAATATTTTATTGAGCATGGTTTAGTTTTATAGGAAGGTTATAATTACACACGCAATTATATTCTATAAATTAATGTTAGAAATAACAAGCTATGCCAACATAGCTGAAGATAAGTAGTTTCTAAAGTCATAAATACATGAAAACTAGATCTGGGTTTAACTTATTCACATAACAAGACCTGGCTAAATGATTACAAATAGTCAACAATTCTTAACTTTACTATTTTCACTTGACTGATTTTTAGTCTCTTCCCTTCATTTCACAACCCAAGTTTCAAATAAAAATACCCTTGAGATTAAGGAGAGGGTTTTTTTAAGATTTTATTTATTTATTTATTTGAAAGTTGGGGGCAGAGAGAGAGAGTGTAAGAGCAGGGGGAGGGAAAGAGGGAGGGGGAGAGGGAGAGTCTCAGAAAGACTTTCTGCTCAGCACAGAGCCTGACATGTGGCTCGATCCCATGACCCTGAGATCATGACCTGAGTGGAAACCAAGAGCACCAATGTTTAACTGACTGAGCCACCCAGGCACCCCTCCACTGGGAAGAGTTTTAAAGGAAATATGCCATGCATTTGCCTTCCATATGAAAATTTTATGTCTAAATAACTTTCAATGTATGAAATTTTACATTATTTAGTAAAAAATTACACATCTGTTTGAATAATTTAACAAGGCTGAGATGATAGTATATTATTTGGTTAGCATAAATATTTTAGTAATAGTCATAGTGTCCTATGCATTATTATCATTGAATTACTATTTGTTCTCATAATGAAAACAAATGCATTCAACGGAGTACATAGTAAGAAAATTTAACCCATCCTTCCAAACCTTTATTTTTCTATATTTTCTATGAATCTTTAAAAATCAACCTTAAATTATCAAATCTTCTAGTTTGCCAAAGTCTTTAATTTAGCCTCTTAGAGCAAATAACTGATGATCAAATCTCATAATCATCACATAGACAAATTACCACTGACATAATCATGAGCTTTACATATTTAGGAAATAAATTATGGCAGGAACAATAAATAAAAGGAATAATATATAAATAATGAAAAGTATACAAAATGAGCATGGAGAAAGCTGTAAAATGCACCAAACCAAAATCTGTATCTTCAATATGGGAATGGATGAGGAAAGACTTGCTTTTTCTCTATCCATCTTGACTTGTTACAATAAGGAAGTATTATTTTTAATTTTTTAAAGTTTTTTTATTTGACCGAGAGAGAGAGAGACAGCATGAGGTGGAACACAAGCAGGTGGAGTGTGACAGGGAGAAGCAGGCTTCCCGCTGAACAGGGAGCCCAATGTGGGGCTCGATCCTGGGACCCTGGGATCATGACCTGAGCTGAAGACAGTTAACTGACTGAGCCACCCAGGTGTCCCTTATTTTTAATTTTAAAATGAAATAAAAATTAATCAAAGTAAAAATGCTTTATAATAGGGCGCCTGGGTGGCTCAGTCGTTAAGCGTCTGCCTTCGGCTCAGCTCATGATCCTAGGGTCCTGGGATCAAGTCCCACATCGGGCTCCCTCCTCGGGGGGAAGCCCGCTTCTCCCTCTCCCACTCCCACTGCTTGTGTTCCTGCTCTTGCTATCTCTGTCTCTGTCAAATAAATAAATAAATAAATAAATAAATAAATAAATAAAATGCTTTATAATATAACTACACACTTAAAAATATGAAATATTACAATATTTAATGCTATTAGCCAATTGGTCTTACTTTCAGTGAAATGCCAGTGGAATTACATTTAATACTTTCAAGGAATATAATATGAATTAAATGTTTTTAATACATTTTAAATTTAAAATTAAGATGTAAAAAAAGTTGACTGCCATCATACCTTACTGACATTTAAGCCTCCAAGTTTCATTCGATCCAAACACATTTACTTCTGTCTAAAAGATGATTCTTGCTTACTTCTTAGGGATCACATTCACTATCTGCCACCAATATCTGCATTCTGTACAAAGACTAATCACTGTGTTCATCTACAATGCATAGAACCCAAGTCTCTAATTTCATTTTGAGCCTATTTGACTTTAAGCCAGATGTTTATTAAGCACCTACTGTGTCCAAAACCCTATACTAGACCCGTGGTAAATATAAATACAGGAAAGTAAAGTCCTTGCACTAAATAATTTGCAATAGAGTTGGGGAGATAAAACAGATGCATATGGAAGGCAATGTAAAGGAATATACTGGCTATAAACGAGAGCACAGGTTAAATGAGTTCAGAAAGGTGAAAGGTTTGTAGGCCCTCTAATAGTCTAGGAGAGTTACAAGAGGTATGGGATACAAACTGTAGGACATGACTATGGCATATTAAAATTTAAAAAGCTAGGGGCGCCTGGGTGGCTCCATCGGTTAAGTGGCCTGCTCTTGATTTCGGATCAGGTCATGATCTCAGGGTCTTGAGATTAAGCCCTGGGTTGGGCTCTGTGCTCAGTGGGGTGTCTGCTTGAGATTCTCCCTCTGCCCCTCTCCCCCTCTCACTCTCTAATAAATAAATCTTTAAAAATAAATAAATAAAATTTAAAAAGTGGCCACAGCAATATCTCTAATCCTACATGCTCTTCCAGAAGCTCAACAGTCCCTATCAAGAGGTGAACTGTGTTACCTCCCACTTAAATCTAGGCAGACTTGTGATTGCTCCAAGCAATAGAGTATAACAGAAATAATAACATGTGACTTGAGAGCCCAGGTTATAAAAAAAGATACAGCTTCCATATGGCTTTCTCTTTGGGGGTGGGAGGAGAGCCACTGCAGGGAAATCAGTTAACATGCAGTAAGAAAAATTAGCTTCTGCAGAGAGGCCATGTGCAGGAGCCCAGGTGGAAAGACCCACGTGCAAAGAAACTCAGGCCCCCAGACAACAGCCAGCATCAGCTCCTAAATTTGTGACTGAAAGAGCATTCAGATGGCCTTAGCCTCCAGCATTCAAGTCACCGAGATGAAGCCCCAGACACTGTGGACCAGAGACAGGTGTCCTCCTGTGTGTGACCTGTTCAAATTCCAACCCTTAGATTTCATGAGCATAGCACATATTTATTTATACCACTAAGTTCTCAGGTAATTCATTACATAGCCATAAAAGCTGAAACAGAAAAATCAATAGAGCTGGAAAAGAGGGAGCAATAGGTGCAGCAGTAGGAAAGCATTATCTGGCTAGAGAAGATTATGGGTAAATAATGTGGGAATAGATTATAAATGAAGATAGGGGACCATACACTGTGATTGTCCTCCAGTTATGTTCACATTATCTAAAAATACAGAAAGCAGTAGAAAGCCACCGGGAATTGGTGTTGAATTAGCTGAAGACTGAGATGCATGCGGTATTTTGGAAAGAGCAAGGCAAAGGGCTGTCTAGACACAAGTGAGGCAATTCTCAGGCAATTGTGAGAATTCAGCATGCAACAAGTTCCAGAAGAATGGTACTGGGAATAGAAGCTCCCAGGAAAAATTAATAGGACACACTGGCTAGTCATGTAAAGGAGAGGACTTTATTCAAAAATGTAATCCCCATTAGTTTATAGCCTTTTAAAATTATTTAGCATTTGTGCATATTTCAACACAGCCTTTTATTACATATCTATGAATTTAGCCTTTCTGGCTGATGCTAGATTGTGAGGTCGGCCTTTCTGTGTCTGTCTCTTTCTCTCACACACACAAATGTACATGCAAACATGTACACACAAATTATAGTAAAAAAATTAGAATACCACTCCTAATTTCAAGCAAAGTTACTACTAGTTTTAGGGCACTGTAATGAAATCTAAAACAACACTGGACAGTAATCTTAATATTACTGGACATTTACTGGACAGTAATCTTAATATTACTAATATGTCTAACTAAACATAGCATGTTTAAATATTTATTAGAAATATTTACATATGGGTGCCTGGGTGGCTCAGTTTGTTAAGCTACAGCCTTCAGCTCAGGTCATGATCCTGGAGTCCCAGGATCAAGTTCCGCATTGGGCTCCCTGCTCAGCAGGATTCTGCTTCTCCCTCTGACCCGCCTCCCTCTTGTGCTTTCTCTCTCCCTCATTCTCTCTCAAATAAATAAAATCTTTAAAAAAAAAAAAAAAGAAACATTTACATAACCATGGTAACAGAAATGAATAAAGTGCTTTTCTAACCAATATACAGATTTGGTTAAAGTGTGCATCAAAAAGCAGCATAAAGGGCACAAAACACATTCTTTAAGAAATATAGGTCATATTGACCTGTACGCTATTATTTCATTCCACATGTAAATTAATAAAAATTTGAATAGATGTTTCAGTCAATAAAACTGAAAAATGAATAGAGATGATAGTGACCAAATTTCCAGGTCATGAAACCTAAACTTTGATAATCACTGAAGATACCATTGTGAAATTATAATCCATAAATTTGATTCCAACAAATCGGTACTTTTTCCTTTTTTAAAATAGTCACAGTATAATGAAGTAATCTAAAGTAGTAGCATTCAGTCTAAATTTGGTCAATAAAAACAGTTATGTAAAGAGCTTTAGAAAATCCTGATAGGATATAATTTTATTACAATGAATAAATAAAACAGGTTTCAAGTAAAGGTATAAAATTCTTGCCTTACTATTTTTTTTTACTCTTAGGAAGCTTATGCTATACTTCAATCTTGATGTTATTTTAATGTCTAAAGTTTAAACTATTATTCAAACAATAATGGGACTATTCCTTTACAGCACTATTTTGACATTTTAATGAAACCTTTCTACATCTGGTTTGATTTAACATATTTTAAAGATTTTGCTGTGACTTTTCATTTACGATCATAAAAATCCCCATAATTTGGTTGATAACATACTTTGCTATCATCTGGCCACAGTCTGGAAATGGCAATACCTAAGTCTATCTGGCCAACAAAACCGGTTATACCTTGGTTAATCAATTTCCTGGGAATCCACTTTATATATGGATTCAAATAATATTTGCG